ATATTCAACAACATTAAATTGACACAACTAAAAATGGAATTTAAAACTTGCAGCAATTTACGTCATTGAAAAGTAATTTGAAGCCACTTTCAGAAAAAATTGCTAGTGTTAATTTTGTTTCCACACCCATGTCCATGTTGTACAACACACAGTCACGGCCCGAGCTAATGCTTATGTTACAACGCATTTGAATTTACATTTTCATCATCTTCAACAATCTTACACCAAAACGTTGGTGGTCCCAACAGTCACTGGAAATTTCTCCAAGGGAATGAGAAGTCTGGGAAAAATCCTTGGAGTACGCGTATGCTGCAATGCACGGTCAATAATGTTTAAGTGAGATATATGCTCATATCTCAACAATTAAAATGCTTTAGATTTCAGCAAACAAGAGCGGAAACATGCTTCTACAATCTACACCAACAATATTAATTCCCCAAACACATTTGAAATATTTTACCATCATACTTGAAAATTCACAGAGAATGATATATTTTTTATTTAACTTTATATATTATCTCAGATATTATTTAAATTTGATTAACATTTAACAGGACAACCACACTGTATTGCTTCTTATAATCACTCGTGTATATATTCAAAGACTTGTGTTCGACATTTATGTTCTACAAAAGGCAGGTAATTTTTGATGAACAGGGTGCAATCAGCTTCTGAAGGATTAAGCTAATCATTAAGTAAATAAATGACTTAGTTCAGAAACCCAACACCATACATCTCAACCGCTATATCCCCAAAATTTATACATAATCAGAATTATACGGAGCAAATTCTTGAATACAAAACACAATCTATCTCTGTAGTCAAGTATAACAATAAATGGACTGTTATATTTTGATTTAAGTAAAATATTTTGTTAACCTAGTCTGGGATTGATCCCAAGTCTTCCGCCTGAAGACAAGTCAAGTACATGGAAAGCAGGAGATCCAAGTTCAATTCTTGGCAGTGAGGACAACATGTTTAACTTCAAAAATAAAATTAGTCAATTTGAGATTCAAATGGTTCCATGCTTGTCACATTTAGCTTTCAACAGTCCACATGATTTCTATCTGTAAGGTTTCAAGAAGAAAAATAACAAAGAAATCAGAATCTCTATTAAAATTCCGAGTCATTACACTTCAACTGCAACAAAAAATTTCTGAAGACTAGTGTTCCCTCATCATTACAGACGATGGAAATCAACTGGACTAGACCACAAAACAGAATCAAGCGAATACTGACACATTGCATTAATAGCACATTTTATACAACTCTGATGCAAGCGAAATCTCTCGTAGCTGCACAATTGCGCAACACTCAATTCATGTAATGTTATGTTTTCTTGATCCAGAAACAGAGCAGAAAACTATTGTTTCATCTTCTCACCTGAAACCCAAACTACATCAAGAAGCAACATGGACATTCAGTGCATGGTGCGCCAAGTGCCAATTTAGTATACTAATTAATGAAGATACACGATAAAACATACTACCATCTAAAGGGAAGCAAAGAGCATGTGTGTGTGTGTAGTGAGAGGGATGCAAATACAGACTACTCAGACAGAAAGAGAGAAAGATGGACTAAACACTACAACAGGTGCTGGGCAGAACTATCATCTATATCTGCACTAACTGTTCTAGCTAAAACGACAACATGGTGTAAGCATTTCCACGGTCCCAGAAAGTGATCCTGATACTTAAAATTTGAAATACAACCAGGAATATTAATTATAAATTTTGTGCTTGACTTTCAACTTTATTGGTCAAAATGTGATTAATTCTGACTATATGTACGTCCAACTAAAGCTTGATTTCAGTTTCTTTATTAACTGAGCACCATACCATGAAGACATTCTTAACATTGGCACTAAATGAATGTAATTAGTTCATTTCATGCCCCAGTCACATTACTCCCACAGAAAGAGCCGCAACCCCTGCCCTCTTGGGAATCAAACCCCAGTCATCCTGGATTTTGGTTTCAATTTTACACCTTCAAATACACATATAACAAAATTCTGAAACAGTTTTCTTAAATGCTGGACAAGGAATCAGAATAACTTATAGAACTTAAAATCACATTCATTTACTGTTCGCAATAATGACAGTTAATTTGAGAACACTATTCTAATTTGCATATTACATGCCATCTATTATAATACTAAAAATTTGTTATAAAACTTCATAAACCATCCAAATTCTATAAAATATGTTTTATGTAAGTGATAAGATCCAGTACCATTATGAAAAGTATTTCTTTAACACAATATGCATATAAAAGATATTATAACAAATAAACATAATTTTGAACTTTAAGGAATTGAAACCTCAATAATCAATTACTTAAAAGTCTGCTATACAGAAAAAGGTTTTATTTTTGCCTTAAAATACATACTGTCCATGGCACAATTCATATAAATCCCAAATACTTTGATATGATTTCAAAAAATAATTTATTATTATTAGTAGTAATTGAAATAGATAGAAATACAAATGTATGAAGCAAAAACCTTATTCAAAAGTCTGAATTACTAATTCAAGTCAGAATTAAACACAAGAAATTAATGACTTTCTTCAAATAAACTAAATTTCATACAATGTGTCTACAGGACAAGGATATCTGCAAAGAATTATAAAGAAATACCAACATTCAATTAATTCTATATTGGTCACTTCCTCAGGTTCAGTATAAATGCTCATCACCATAATCCAACCAACCAATCAATATTGCCCACCTCCTCACTCACAGGCTCATTCTCAGACTCGGACATAGTTTGGGTCTTCAAAATAGTGTACAGCTTAGCATAGGGGGCTTTGATCACCTTCACCACGCGTATGCACCAACAAGAAAACAAGAGAAACAGGCAGCGTTAAGGCAACACAGCAGCAACTCAACTAGTTAACTCTTACCACACCTCTTTCACAAATGACATGATTCACAAAGAATACCAAGGAATTTAGTTTGCATTCATCATATAATTTGATTTTCACTTTCAACTAAACTTATAAAATTAAAAAGAATATAAACCAAAATTACAAAAACCAAAGCTGGGCCTAAGCAGGAGGAACAGGGTGGAGAAAAATAAACAATGAGGAATTTCCTAATTTGTGCTCTTCGCCAAATATCATAAGGGTGATTAAATACAGGAACATTAGATAGGTGGGACATGTAATATGCGCGGTAAAAATGAGAAATGCAGACAATATTCTGGTGGGAATATCTGAAGGGAAGAGACCACTTGTACGAAGATGGGAGAATAATATTCACTTGTAACCTAATGTGAATATGGTAATGAAGCTAGCTTGCCACTAATCATTTTCAAGGATGACTTTGATCATGGAATTAATTAAAGAAGAACTTTTCAACAAAAGTCGCATCTCTGTATCAAATCTATGTTTATATAAATTTTAAAAATCACAAGGAAAACAGATTTTCAGAACTGGTAGCCTAAGATGGTTTCAGTGTACAACACAAGAGAATATTGATTTATAATATGTGTTATTCCAGAACACAGAATTACAGTTTATATTATCAGCAGTAAGGAAATAACATAAACAGTCTGCAAAGAATTTGTGAATAACAAACTGTAAACTGTTTTTAAAACAAACACTTCTGTCAACATCTATACTCAAAATGATTATATGATGAAAACAATTTCAGTTCCTTTTTAGAGACCTATATTTTTTAAGCTGTAATGACTTTCAAGTACTAGAAATTCTGCAGAACTATGAAGGCAACCAAATTCACTATATACAGTTATAACTTCTAGCACTTTGACACTAATCTAAACAGTCATGTTCATATTTGAAAACTTTGAAACTAGCATTGATGACATCACAGATTATATTGAGCTCAGCCGTAGTGAACAATAACTCAGATACTAACAAAATGTTAATTTGGGAAATTGCAATCAGCTGAACACATCAGCCAAAGCACAATGTTATTTTTACTTTTTCTTTTCTTGCAAGTAATAATTTCTTCTCATACATCAGACACGTCCAAGATCAATATCTAAACCTCTAATTTATACGTTCTGTCTTTTGTAATTATACTAAGTTAGAATTCTAAACAACTATTACTATTTCTAATACAATTTTAATTTTAAACAAGTCGAGGGCAGCATTCTAGACAATGCTTTAAATTCACATGATATGAACCAAAATAAAATCTGCCTGGAAACTTTTAGTGTAGAAAACCCAACACTAAATTTAACTGAAAACCATCAGAAAGTTTCAGAGATGAAACATGCAAATGGACACAATCTTCCCATTATGCATTCTTTTCGTGCACTTTATGCAAAGAACACATGAACTAGGAAGAAGGGGAGAAAAGACGTAGCTTCAACTAAAAATCTTGTAACTATGGCTAATTCTAAGTTGATAGTTAACTTCTTTTACACTTCCACATATACTGACATAATCACTTATCTTTCTTTTGGGAAGCAGGAGTATGTGGGAATGAAAAAGAAAGGCAAACTTTGAGAGATGTTGCAGCACTTGTGGATTAAATATTGAGAAGTCTGTGAAAATTGTATTCTTACCTTCAAATGTTTCCTCATACGTACTTGCATTAAATTTACTTGGGTCCAACTTCAAGTATGATTAAATAATACCAATATATATCCACAGTTCTTTAACCACAACATGTCATTCAATTCACTATAAAGCCATATAAATCTAAAATAAGTTTTGTTTAAATCACAATAATAAAATACTATTAATTAAAATTAAAGGCCAGAATCAACATAATCATTTCACAAAATATAAAAGTTCCAAACAGTTCATCACGAAAGCAGCAATATTCCCTCTAAATTATTATGTGCAAAGATGTATGAAATGTCATAAATGATTTTTCAGCTGAAGGTATATAAACAATGAAGGCATCACTTTCAAATCAAACAAATGACCTTAACATTATACTCCTGTACCAAAAGTAAACACATCAAGAAGCATACAACTCTGGAACAATTATAGTAAAAGAGAAGTAACTGCTGTACTATTACTTACCTCCCAAGATTCACGTGTCAGTTCTGAAAGTTCTCCTTCATCTGATTCCCGACGTTCATCCTTCCCACCTGGACCAGACTCTCCTGCTTCATCCTCCCATAGCTCTGTGTCTGATTCTACAAGCTCATAACCTCGAGATTTAGGGTCCATTTCCTCCAACTCACCATACAGATGTGGCACCCAGAGGAGAAGGAAGTTATACAAATCATCCACCCTGCAAGTCACATTATCGCATTGTTAATTCTGTACAATAACATTCAAGTAAAAAAATATACATTAGGTACAAGTAAAAAACAACTCTGCCATAGCCAGTCCCAAGCCCAAGTTGAGAAAGGAGGTTGGTAAATGAGTCTTGGTGGCCATACTGATGTCGAGTATGACTATAAATTCCAAAGTAACGCTCACTGATGCAAGACCTGTCAGCTCTGTCAACAAGTCCTACAATAGAAAAGGAAGGGTGAGCCTCCAGCGCCTCAAATCTGGAACCCCTTGACTAACGGAGATAACACCGACAGAAAAATCAGCAGGTCTGTAGGCTTACATGGCAGCCCCATCAACAGACTTAGGGCGCTATAGACCAATCTTCCGTCTGCCAAAAGGTTTTACTATTACAGAATCCGAAGCAACAAGTAACCCAGACGGACTTTCTACAATGATCTTAAGCATGTCCTGGAACGAAGTCAAAGCTGTAGCAAGGAACAGAGTCCATTATAAGAAAGTTGTGAATGCCCTATGCTCCAACCTGGGGCTCTAGGATATATATATGTATATATAGTTACTACTGGCACTTTTAATTTGCATTTCCTTATACTGAACATAAATTTGGCATGTAGTAGACAGAAATACACTTCCAGTCCTGACACAAATGTGTGCTACTTCTGAAAACCAGCTGCTTGATAAAAACATTTGTACAGCATAAAATTCTTTCTGCTTCCATTATATCATGTGCTTTACTGCACAATAAGATCTGACATGAAATTCATTTCTTTTGGTCAGGTCATAACTATGTCATAAAACATTTACACATTCTGCAATTCATCATATGGTCATACAGAAACCACTTCAAGCCATTTTTTAAATTAAAAGGAGAAAAAGGGAAAAAAACAACAAGAGATATATGCAGAAAGAAAAAGAAAACTGCCACATGCACAAGCAGCTGACATAGTTTTAAACTATGCTATCAAGCACCTGCACTAAGCTACCAAGCTGGAAAAAATAACATATGAATACACCTAACCTGTTACGTGGAACACTAAACCAAAATTCCGGCCTCATCTTCTTTTTTCCATATGACATAATAGGTGTTGACTTCGGAATCTTCTTGTTTATTGGCTTGCCCATACGTAGTCTTAAATACAGAGGAGGGTCCTCACATGATCTAGCAGGTCTTGGGATCAATTCTGTTAACATAATGAAAGAATAATGCGTCGCTGCATAACTCAGGATAACCCACAATGAAATGGCAGCATAAGTGTAAGAGTAGAATTATACTGTGTTAGAGCTGAACAGAAGGATCTGAATGGCATTATGCTAACATAATCTTGAAGCACAAATTAAGAAATTTCAATACACAGTTAAATAATACTTATGACAGTTCCAATGTGCAATGGGAGCTAATTGTCAGAATGTATGTTATACTATTACATATAATCTGTATAACAACATTGGAAAGATGCATTCTCTGAAAAACACTGACATTCGAAAGATGTTCTTCATGCCACAATGTGTTGTAGGTCACTGTTTCACTAATGTGGTCCAAGATCACTGTCGCATCTTATGCCACACTTAAACTAGTGTGATCCAGGCCACTGTTGCACAATAATGTCTACCAGATGAGTTCTTCATCTTTTCTTTTCACTAATGTGATCTGAGGTCCCAGTGTTGCACAATGTGAAAACTTGGACCCACTGTATGATCTGAAGCTTTCACAGCGACAAAATATAATGAATCCTTCTGGGCTACCAGCCATGTCAGGTGGTTGAAAGGCGAAAACACCTGACATGGCTGGTAGCCCAAGAAGAATTCATTACACTTGGACCCACTGTTCTGCAACAATGGGTTCCAACAGTAAACAGTGGGACCTCCTGTTCAATTGTTCTGAAAAAAGTGACAGGCCATACTAGAGCATGAGGAACACCTAACAAAAATCCAGAATTTCACCCAAATCAACTGTACATAATGGACAACATGAAGTAGCAAATTATGAATATAGATTATTATACTGGGAGGTAAGGTGTGAGTTTCAATTCACTGTGAATTGCGGCCAGAATATTTTATGGTTCAAGGGACTAATAAATTTCATTATTAAATCTAACATTCTGTTTACAGATTTCATAATGTAAATAGTGTACATCAACTGAAAAATTATCAACCTATCAACAAACTGTTTACAGTTAATGTTAACTGTCCACTCTTCAACCACATGCAGAAATTATTTGAAAAGGTCAATTGAAGATCACACTGAACCTTTCAGCATCCCAAAATTCATTCTAATTTTTATACATATTATGAGTCAACTATAAAATGTGTGCTCTAAGATATATAATATGAGGAAATTAGTGATCAGTGCATTCTAAAATAGAATCACTCAACCCTAAATTAACTGTAAATAAGGGAAAAGAGCATAAAAATCCCCACATTCAGAATGCAAGGCAAGTAACATAAGTAATAACTAGTAGTGAATTGAATGCCAACGTCTACCGCTGCACAACTGTCGATTAAATTGTTTCCTGCTATGATAAAGACAGGATAAGGATGGATTGAAAAATGTAAGTAATATGTTAATATTGCCTACTAAAATACTGCTAACACTAGCACACAGGAATATGGGAATTCAGAACCAGAATGCCTAAGTTAAATTGTTGCTTTATGTTACATCCGTATTATGGAATACACAAGATAATGATGTCCAATACCAGGACACAGAAAACCTTACCAGGAGATAGTGACTGTCAAATGTTTCATTTCTATGATTTGACAAAACAACTAGAGTAAAAATAATTGGAATTTGATCACAGATGAGTGTCGAAAGATAAGAGTGAATACATGATTTATACTTAAAACATATGAAGAGCATTTGCAAATCATTAAATATAAATAAATGGCCCATATGTAGCATATTTCTATGTTCCACCTGAATGAGAATTTTAAGGAGAAGACAACTATCACTTGATATTCTTAATGTGTGCATCTTTAAATTTGTTTAATGTACACTTGTGTTGTTAAACAGCTTTTGTTTAAAATGTTCTACACACTATACCGAAGCATGTTCCATTCTCACACTATGGTGAGAAAACATATATTACAAATTTATGACAAATACAATAATAATAACTGCTCTCTTTAAAGACGGTTCTTGCATAGCAAGCCTTTGTAGAAGTAATAAGTAGAAGGATTCAGGATATAAGACCTGTAGTACATTCACATGGTTTTTGTGTAAACCTAAGAAATCCTCTGAACTGGGCACTCATGAAGACAATGTTCATAAAGATTTCAATACGTTAATTACAGGGATTACAAGTTACTTGTAGAAACAACTCTTGTGGAATAGATGGGAAGAGCAAATATTTTGGAAATAACTTGCTTGTACAAAAATCTTTAACACTTCTCACACCTTCATTATCATTCATTTAATACAAACTGAGGTTTTAATCTTACTCTCAGTAAGATGACTAAAGTGTAAAAATTATGCAGCTACAATAAAGAGAATGATATGAACTGACAAGTATACAAGAGAGATCTATTTTAATTTTTTAAGCAGCACTATCAACTAGTACAATATTTGTGAAATAAATATAGTGTCTGGATGTCTACTGATACAGAAAATGTACACAATACCTGTATGGTGTAAAGATGTGTAACCATTAAAAAATCTGAATAAACGAATGTGCAAATAGTTGTCAAATGAGTATGTTACATGAATAAAAACAAAGCATGCAATACTTGGAGGAAAGCTGATACTAGGGGGCAAACCCCAAAACTCATTCATCCTCCACATGCTCCATATTGGCTAACATAGACACACCAGACATGCAAACAAAGGCCTGGAGGAAAGATGCAGTTCATTAGTGTAACTGTTACTGATTTAAGAAAGGTTTAATGCCTGCAAATAAAGTATTTTATTTTTAGTTTACGATAAATATGGCAACATCAAACATAATAAACCAGCAACCATACCGAGTAGAAACTAAAAAATGACATGCAGACTTCTTTATATATTCTTGGTATATTTAAGGACACTTTCAATTGCTCTGATTATACAAAAATGATTACTATGCATAAATAAATATTATTATTCCAATATATTTACTTTAACATACACTGCAAAAGGCTCCCAATTATACCATTATTGTTTCCAAGCAAAATTTTCCTGAGATAATCACCACTGCTGTTTCATTCACAAATTCAGTCTAAGATCTATCTACATATACTACAAAGCATGCAGAAACAAAGCTAAACATTAAATTTTAGAACACCACAGATAAAACATTTTAAATTTTCCTCTTAAACTTCACTACATTATTCACTTCACTTCAAATGGCACCATACATATAAAAGTGAAAGACAAACAAATTTTATAAAAGGTAAATAGTATATCACAATATATTCATGAGAAATACATAATCAAGTAAGGCCTGAATTCATGAAGACATGAAGATGACTGTCTTCTGAGATGTGCCATGTAGTCTAGTAGAAACTAAATGAAGTTCAGAGGTGCTTATTGCCTTTATCATCCCAGAAGACAGTCAGTCACCTACATACTCACTGCCATGCAAACTTGAAATCTCACCTTCATAAAAACACAGTTCCACTCCTTTAGTAGAAATAAAGTAAAGAGGTTCATTCAGTCACAGTATTAGTACTGAAAAGAGCTGCATATAAAATTTGTAGGTATGCCTACAATCTACTATTATACCAAACTTGAAGTGTCAACTTCATCGATTATTGTCAAAGTCAAAAGGTGAATCTGTACTTAACCAGTCACCATGCAGTCGGGAAAACTTTCCTGGCCTTGCTGAATCCTAAGAGCCACTAATGGGGATTCCCTACCATTCTGCATATCCTCCAGCCCTGCCTTTTCAGTATTAACTCTCATGAGGAAAATGACCCTGGATAACCTTAATTTCCGTGAGTCAGTTTGCTGTCACCAGAGTGGGGAGGTGGCAAAGTGAAATGTCTGCTCTGAAAAGCTCAACAAAATCATTTTCTGGCAGAGCCATAATCATTCTGCAGGCTGCGTACTTTAAATCTGTCTTATGATAAAGCATGTCTATCTGCTGAAAATTCATAGATTCACATTGTTGAAATATTTATTAACATATTCTATGTGAATTTGTTCCCTGTATCATCCCCATGAGAGGATTCCAGCAGCAACAATCAGCAACAGAGGAAATATTATTTCTTAATGATTAATTCATGTGTCAATGGGCCCTGCATAAATACTCAACCTGTCTTACAATACAGTAACATATACAGCATCTTCATACCAGATCTTTGTTTACTGCATAAACAAAAGCTATTTTTTTGTGACACATGAATTCCATTAACACATTAATGCAACGCATTCAGGCACATTAAAAAATTTAACATACAAGGCAAAAAGCAGACAATGCAAACACACACATAATTGTCAATTTCAATAGTGTGGTCAGGCATGCATACAGAACATTGTTTAAAAGAAAAATAATATTTTGTTAATATTATCAGTAACTAATATAGCCAGGCACTTTCAGGCAATGTGCCACAAAGATCATATATGTGTATCTTTGCCCTACATGTGGGCATACCTCAAGTTCATGATCACTTCCTTCCACTGCGATAATTAAGAAACAAACAGTCAAATCTATGACAGGAAGAAATTTGCTAGTCAAACAAGAAAAATTAGTGCTGCTTCACCAGGCTGCACTAAACAAGGAAAAGAGTGAATGCATGTATCACTGAATGTGGTGGCCATTTCAAACACTTAAAATTAAATAACATTTTTTGACAAACAGAACATGTGTCAAGAATGGGTTTTGTCACTTTTCAATACTCTGTACTTCGCATATTTAACAAATTCTAAACAGATGTAGTGGTACACCACATTACACAAATAAATGTACATATGAAATGAATCTGTAAGTCATAATGTCATGATTATGCATACAGCCAAAAATGTAATTATCTGTTACTCTTCATAACAGAAGTGCAAATACAGGAAGCAAACATGAACTTGTGATGTTAACATCACCAGTCAAACAAGCAGCACAATCACACTGACAAACAAACAATAATGAGGTGTGAACACCTACCCAGATCTTCAAGTAGAGGAAAATTGGGTGCATGGACTACAATGAAAACAAAGAAATTAATAAAAAAAGATAAAAGAAAGAAATAATCAAACTATTAGTTTCTTTTGAAAATTCTGAACATTAATTAAATAATACACAAATGAAAACTGTATTATGTTTTCTGGCAGAATGTGTCTGAATAACTGACAAAAGCTTCTAGTGTGCCACGGATGTGGTAGTCCTCTGCCGGCAGTCAGTGACTAATTATTTTAAAATAATGCAGATGTTTGCCATGACTTACTCAGTGCCTAAATGCTTATGTATATGCTATCAGTCAGGCTTCATAGGATTTCTTCTCAATATTTAAGACTCCAAATTCATGAGTGAACTAATAATAAGCACATGAAGAGAGAAAATCCCAGACAGGATAGCACCAAAACAATGAAAATCTTTTCACATTATTAACTTTTCATGGAATATATTATGCACGCTCACTCTCATAAACTGACTGAAAAACTAATATATTCATATTTGTGAATAAAAGGTAATCACATCTGTATATTTGTATCACTAATTACAGTGCAGCCATGAAATGTAATATTAGCAAATTTTTAATAACTAATATTATTTAATTAATAAAAATTAATTTAAACATATTAAAGAATTTTTGCAGTGTACAGTGAAATTTCATTATTAAATATTTCAATGACATTTAAAAAGTATTTGTTATTCCCTGTCGGACCTGTTATAGTTACACAATGCAATGCCCTTTCTTCTGTCTAGGGTACTTTAATGGCCGTACTGGCTTCATGATCCTTTTTAAAGAATCTTCTTAAATCTAGCTTCTTACTTTGCCCCATATATTTCTAATTCCATACTGTCTTAAGCTACCCATTTTGATCCAATTTGTATACATGGAACATACTTCTACTTACTCCTGGATGTAGTAATTTCTTCAACTATATTTATTATTCACCTTTAAGTTTCACATGTACTTCTGTATTTACTTTTTTGTCTCATCATAAGAGACATAAAATTACTTCTTTCTGCAGCTTCTATTATTCTTTTGTTTATGATCATGACTCACTATCACAACCATAATTACAACCAAAATAACCATCATCATCATCATCCTGTCAGTTATTAGGATGTGTGGCCTGTTACAGTTTCATTCCATCTCTTAAGTGGTGTTCCGAAACTTCTCTTCCCACTACTCTTATATGGTATAATATGTTTTGGTATTTCGGTATCGAAATTCTATACTAAGAATTTAAACAATATCTTGAATAATTTAAAATATGTTTTCCTGGGCATTAAACCAAACTGTTTGTAAATTAATTTCTGTGCCTCTTATTTCCAAACTTCTCTTATCATCAGGACTTACTATATTCCTTAAACATTTAAATTCACCTACTCTTTTATTGGTTTATTACCAAGCAATGCTTTGCACCTAACTAATTAAGTAACTGCATCCCACTAAATGTTTTTTTTGTATTCACATAAAATCATTTCATTATTTATTTAAGTAAATAAATATTTATTTGTCATGTTTCTGCAAACAATACCTAACCATCAGCATACAATAAATGTGCTACATTTTTTAACAAATAGTTTAATTCCTACTTTATTCATTCTCTTGTTACCACCTCCATCTTTAATTACTGCCTATCTAACCAACCAATGTCTGTTCAATTAACCGATGAACTATCTAAATAAACAAATACAGTAACCTACTTCTTACAAAAGTAAGTAAAAGACATTTTTGATATCTGTGCAACATTAGCATGTGATATTGAATCCATATCAAGAATACACTGAGGTAATAAAACAAAGAGCGAAGTCCCAAGCCAGTGATGCTATAAAGCCAAATAAATCTTCTGGGGAAAAAATGTCAACTCAGGTTTTTTGTAATTTTTCATCATGGATTCACAGGGACACATAAGTACAATGAGTGCTACTTTCAACTACACTCTATTGCACACATTTTCTCACAAATACACCACCACTAATTATGTCCATCTATGAAACTAAACTAGCTGTTAAGACTAAAAATTGAACTATAACTAGCAATTTATGACATTTATTACACGAGTGAAGCAGCCAGAGTATGAAGCCCCACTCATCTCCATCTAGTGCACAGGTTAAGAGTGCATGGACCTACACTTTCACTCTACCATATATTTCCATACCAAGGTGCTTAATTAAGCAGAGGGAAAACATTTACCTTATCTGTACAAGGCAGTTATGTTACAAATTCCAATACTTTACTCTGAAATAAGTATTTAAAGGTACAAAAAGGCAAAAATAGAAATTATCAACTGCCAATTAGGCAGAAGTATTTAAAGGTGCAAAAGTATAAATTATCATTCAACTGGGGCACTATACAATGATTAAATTTAAATCATATGTAAATAAGTTATACATATACATCTCTTTATGAACAAATGAAGAATTTTCCTGAATGTCTGAGGTATAATTATTATAAACTAATCATATCACAGACTCTTAATAATAACAAATGTCATGCCCCTTTTCTGCTCCAAACTGCAGTAAAGTGTATTGTTTCAGTAAATAAAGTCACAAAAAACAGTACTACAATATGGAATACTGTAAACCAAAAACAGCCAACTCATAATAGACCTACTATTTATCTTACCCTTATACAAACCCAGATATTATAGACTTCATAGATACATGAGCTGTATTCGAACAATGTTGCAAAACCAAGGGGGGAAAGAACTTTAACCCACGAAAATCTACATCTTAAGCTCATGGGAAACAACTTGAAAATATCTAGACCATGTTGCAGAGGATACTAACACAACAGAAATGCAAAACCAGACATTCTAAAACTTTAATATCCACATTCCTCTTTCAACACATAAAAGTTAAAGGATTCACATTGGTATACATAAAGTTTAAGCTGGAATAGCTATGATAAAGAATTAAACTACATGCTAAATGACCAAAGCTCAACATAACAGGGGCAGGAATCTCTTCTCACCACCATGTCCAGACTGGCTCTGTTGCCAACTCAGCCTCCTAACCAAAGGAGTCACCTGTGTTCTTTCTATAGGGGAATGTGGCTAAACATGTTATGCAACCACTCATCACAAACTAGTGATGAAGTGAAGTAAGCGTACACATGGAACTTTACCTCCACACCTCCTATATTCCTTCAAGGTATGGTGCTTTGATACAGGGAGTATATTGCATGTTTATTGCTAGTCAGCATAACCAACAACCACTAATGTTACTGTAATATCGGAAAATATTTAATTTTTGGCGCATAATTTCTTACAAGTAACCACCAGTCTAATAATAATTTCTATGATGCCTGTTAGTTTTGTAAGTCTGTAGCTTTAAAACAACATAATAGATATAAAGCTTATTTACTGCAAAGAACAAAAAAAGATTGCATAATCTACCTCTGTCCAAAAAATGTGCCCTATAAAATAAGAAATGCACTGAGCAAATAACAGCAATGATGGGTAGCCAGAAGCCAATCTGACTACACCAAACCCATTGCGCAACATTTTTGAGAGATAGCAAGTTAGAAAGACAATCTCAAGTCTCTTACTCCTATTTCATTTGAAATGAAAAATCTTGAGGTATCCAAGATATCAAACACAATAATTTGGAATAAAAGATTGAATCAATATTTTTATAAAACATTTAGAATGAAACACAATTTAGTTTTTGTTCAATACTACTATTATCGTGTCGG